CACACTACAGTGTTTGAGACCTGGAAAATTGACAAACATTATTTTAGAAAATTTGTAGAGCAAAGTTAAGAAGTGAAATACTGCAAAATCGGCCCAAGTTCATCTCATTTAATGTTTTGGGCTTTTAAAGTTTATTTTTGCTTGAATTAAAAATATCTCAATCTTCCACTTCAAACTGATAAAATCATACTGAAATTCACTAGCTGATATTTCTCACAAAACCCCAAATAGTCAGGAAAGCCAATTTTATCCACATTTGACAGATGAGGAAACTGAAGCTGAGGGCGTTAAATAACTTGTTCAAGGTTGTTAGTGACAGAGGTAAAAGCCTGCACTCAAACCTCCTGATTCTGAGTTCAGTAACCTTTCCCACAAATATGTCATGCAGACTTCTAAGACCAGGCTGTTTAGCCATTAGGATAGCCAGACCTGTGATCAAAATTGCCCTTGATTTCTTTTTTTTTTTTTTAATGTTTATTTATGTATTTATTTTTTTGAGAGAGAGAGAGAGAGAGAGAGAGAGAGAGAGAGAGAGAGACAGACAGAGCGTGAGCAGGGGAGGGGCAGTGAGAAAGGGAGACACAGAACCTGAAGCAGGCTCCAGGCTCTGAGCTGTTAGCACAGAGCCCACCGCTGGGCTTGAACCCAAGAACCATGAGATCATGACCTGAGCCGAAGTCAGACGCTTAACTGACTGAGCCACCCAGGTGCCCCAAAACTGCCTTTGATTTCTGATGTCAGATAAATCTTTCAAATGTCTGTAAATCTGAAGTTTCTCATTTGTAAAATGGGAGTTAAAATTATAAAACACATGTGAAGACCATAGCACAGGGTGGGCACTGAACAAATGCCAGTTCCCTTCTCTCTTTCTTCTACAAGATCCCTTAAATCTAAGTAGATCGTCCATTCTCTGGTTCAAAATCTGTATGATTGGTGAAACCCTAAATAACTATAGAAAAGTAACTCAGGGGATACGCAGATACTGAAAGCACAACGATAAGCTCATTGTCACAGACAAAGAAGACCATAGCAGAAGTTGTTGTCATGTATGATTATATAATGGCCAAGAGAGTGGTTTAAAAAAAAAATCCATGATCTTGAGTCTTGTTTTTAAAGGGGCAGGTCACATCAAAACATCACGCCTTGAACTCATTCTCTACCATGTAATAAATATGGCTCATTGTCTCCAAACACAAAATATTCAAAACATATCAAACAGGTATGACATACTTCCAACTTAATGGAACTGTTTGAGACTCCAAAAGTAGGTTATCCCAATAGCTATCATGTCCTACATCAGCCAGGAAAGAGATTCCTCAGGACCACATGGCTAGTCAGTGCCACAAAAGAACTTAAATGCTATCTTCTTTGTACCTCCTCTCTCTGGCTCACTTGGGTGAGAATGAAGTAGGGGCACACATGACCGACACTAGGTGGGGATGGGCCTGAAAGAGAGGCAAGAAGTTAAGGGGGCTGCAGATGTGGGCAGGAGGGAAGCATAAGCTCAGAGCTGCTAATGTCAAGAGGCATTCACAGGCCTACTACCACAAAAGCTAAGCAATTAGCAAATCCGATGCTAAAAATATTAAAATGCATAACATGATTTAGAACATTTCTTCCAATTTCAACTTAATGCTAGGGAATTACGTGCCAATAGCTGTCTTACATTTGTGACTCCAGCTCTTGGCACACTCCTGCAGAACTGGGGTTGTGTTATTGCATATGTGGGTGGTTATTAAATGCTTTATAATGATTATGTTAAAGGTTATATTCCTCATACACATAACTTCACTTACTATTATGAGTTAGACGTGTACATGAGTAGACAATGGTCTCCTTCCATTAAATGCAAACTGGCTGAAATTACTGTTTAAGTTGCCAGGTTGTAAGAGAAAAGAGAGCAAATTAATGAGGGTGAAGTTGTATAATCAGTTTATAAAACAAATCATGCTGAGGTCAAGGCTGACATCGCCAACTCCCACACATCTAAGTACCCTTAAAAATGTGACCTTCTCTTTTTTCCCGCCACCACTGCTCTAATTCAAGCTGTTTCTTATTTCTCTTCCATTCACATGCGGTTGATGAATCATTTATCTTGGCAAAACATGAATTCCATCATGTCACCCGTCTCAGAAACCTCTGAGGGCTTCCCACTGCTTGAGACACAAAGGCCCAACTCCAAGGCAAGGCATTCATGGCTCTCCTAAATTTGGCCCATCCTTCTCATTCAGTGGTTCTCAACCACTCGGGGAGGTTTAAAAGATAAACAGGCGTACATCTTGTGCCCCAGAAATTTTATTTATTAGTTCTGGGGAAAGATCTAGGGACTTGTATTTTTAAAAATATCCGTGGATGACTTTTATTCACTGCCAGGGTTGAAGCACTGGTATAATTTTCCCACCTATTATTTCACCCAACATTAACTAAAGCTTCTGTTCCAGCCAGTAATGCTGATTTGTTTGTTTGTACCTCTATTTCTCCATCATGCTGTTAATCCAACTTGGAATATCATTTCCTCTCTTAGCTCTTTATTTAAATTTAAATCTTTACCATTCCTCTAAGACTAACTGAAATCCCACCACCATCTTTATAACCACTGTGAATCATAATGATATTGCCATTCTGATAACCCCAAGGGCATGTGTTACCTTCATGAAGTACTTTATGGCAATTAATAACATATTGTTTGCACTGCGAGTGTTTTTTCCATACTTCACTCCCTGTATTTCTGGCTCCTAGAGGGAAAGTCAACTTTTCCTAGTATCTTTGGTTCTCATTCCCTAGCCCTTTGCACCTACGACAGCATTAAACATAAAGCAGACATTCACTCATGTGCTCAAAGCTTACAATGACTAAACATATTAAAGTCTCCAAAATTTATTAAGTGTATTCTTATAACCTGACAACATAAATTATCAACCTTCGGCATTGTTGATGCATACACTGATGGGTTTTTCATGGGAAGCATCACTACACCCATACAGAAATGATAATTACTTGTCCACAAAATCTGATAGGATGTCAAACACAGGGTTGGCTGATGCCTATAAATGTGTTTTCTCTATAGACAGAAGTACTTTCCATGTTTATATATTCATTTCTCCTAAGTTCATAGAACAACAGAAAGGGAGAAGTAGTAAAATGTCAATACGGTACTTAAAATGACCCACCCATACGATCAAACAGCTGAAGAGTCTACAATGAACTACTGTGGAGAGGCCAGAAGAGCAAATGCTCCCTTGCCCTCAATTTAGGAGACATGAGAGTATCAGTAACCTACAGGTAAATGTCTTTTATGCAAATACTGAAAGCCAAAAACTTCCTGGCATGAGAGCATCCAGCGATATGTTGAGCCACTGCCAGAGCTCCAGCTCAGGCTCTCCTGTGTCTTGAGCAACCCAGAAAGGTACTATCCTGCTTCTAGGGCATGGGAGATGTGATTCCACACTCCAAGCTAAAACTTCTCTGCAAAACAGTATTATGCATGGTAGCTGCCTGTGGTTAAAGTACCACTGGTACATATGAGTTAAATAGTCTTGGGAGGCCTGGCTGAGAATCTAACCACTATTTATAACATTGTTTTTGTGGAAAAAAAATGTTTTCCGCATTCCAAACAACAGAATTAGATATGAACTTTTGGAATACAGTTTTTTTCTTAGATTAGGAACTGACTGCATCTTGTTATTTACACTATGGTCAGTATTTTCCTAGGATAAGATGGCAGAGTTGGGGGGGGGGGGTCTGCCAAGAGTGCAGAACAGGAATAAATAGTTGCCATGAACACAGACCATATGTGACTATAAGGGTGAAAGACAGATGATAAAAGAAAAATCCAGGCACATTACTAATTTATTAAGCAAATATTTACCAAGAACTATTAAGATTATGCTGAATGACATGAGAAACAAAAATTAAACAAGAAGTTTGGTTTTATTTATAGTCCTCACAACCTATGATGGGAGATAAGACGGACATAAACACAAGTAATAAAGCTGCCTGGTAAAATGTGCTAGGACAGTGATAAAAACAAAATATTGGATGAAGTCAGCAGAGAGAGAGACGGAGACAGAGTGTGTGAAAGCTAGTGCTTCTAGCTAGAGCAATCAGGGAAAGTTCATGGAAGAGCATGCACCTGGGCTGAGCCTGGAGGATTTGTACAAGATTTCAACAAGCAGAGGACACAGTAAGATTGAAGGAGAGAACATCCCAGAAAAAACATGAAGTAACAAACACAGTACACAGCAAGCCACAGAGGCATGAAGAATGGTGAGAATTCAGTGAACAGAAAAGAGTCCAGTTGGCTAAGGTGAAGGATATTTTTAGGAGCTGGGTAGAGGGCTTCGAATGCCACGCAATGGAACATGGATTCCATCCAACAGTGAGTGGGGAGCCATTAAAGTGTTTTAAAAGTATTGGAGTTCTATATGCAGATCTATCTGGCAGTGGAATACAGGATGGAGGAAGAGTGAATGAAGACAGAAGACCATCAGGAGATAATTATATTAGTTGACATTGGTCAAGATGACTTTTAAAGCTAAGTTTTTGAATAAACAAACATTTAAGGTTTAAGCACTAGTTCATTACTAAATACCTCCCTTCGATGATCACGAATATATAAATCATTTAGAAAAGCCATACAAAACCTTAAAAAAACTGAAAAACATAGTTTTAGTGGGAAAAAAACTTTTAAAAACATTACGTTTGACATTTAGTCAAGACCTAATGACTAGACTTAATGAAAAATAAAGGAACATTTTTGAAGTGTTAATCTCACTTTTAAAATGATACCACGAGTTTAAACATTACAATTTTAGTAAGCATATGACATTTACAAAGAAATAATCTTTCCACTATTTTCCAAGACCAGTAATTCAATATACAAGGCAACTCTAAGATATTCTGAGAAATTTGAGAGTTCAAAGTGTCACAGATACTGGACTTAATTCTTTAGATGTTAAATCAATCTTAAGCTGTGTTAAAATGGATAAGATCAGACTTACTTGAGGTGATTTGACTTAGTAAATGTCTTCTAAACTTCAAATTTTCAGTGTTGGATGAGACACGGCATTCATCTTTATCTGAAAAAAAAAAACGTAATGGAAGTAATGAAATTGAAAGAATTGATAGGTAGCTTATAGAAGCCAATTATATGATTACACCTTAAAGACTGTAACAGAGTTATATGAAGTCCTATAAAACTGACATTACTTATACTATGTATAATTTAAGAACCTAAGATAAAAATCTCCAGCTATGCCCAAAGACTTCTAAAATAGAAGATATAATACATTTCCTTCATATATTTTTATGTCAATCTCCTCAAAATTCTGAAAAATATATTATTAGATATTCAAGACTGATTGACACCAAATTCTTTAATATAGCCAATAATCAAGCCCTATTCAGTACTAATATCATGGAGAACAGGGAAAGATGAAATTGCATAAGAGAGAGTTTCTGTCATCAAAAAACCCACAAACCACAAGAGGAGACAAACACAAACAACTCCATATCAAGAAAGATATAATAAGTGCCCCAAGAGGGACAGAAGTGAACCAATACCAAGAATTAGAAAGGTGGCAGGGTAAGAGTTAGAAGAGAAAGAACTGATACACAAAGGTGGCACACTAATCACTGAATTGACAGTAGAGAGCAAAGGAACATATCAACTATCCTTTAAATTCTAGAATTAGATCCATCAATAGATGAATACACAAGATGTACTATAATTAAAAGTACACTTACCTTGATGAGTAATGAGTAATGGATAAAAATGTTGAAACATTATTATAGTGCAAACCAGAAACTAATAGAACACCGTATGTTAATTGCACTAGAATTAGCATTTGGAAAAAAAATCTAGAATTGGAAGAATTCAATACTTTTTTTGAGATGGCTGTGCAAAAACTGGCAGTGTCCACAAAAGGCAGGTTTAAAGTTCTTGGGAGGATAGGAAAGAAGAGTTCTGGGGAAGACAAAAGTTACAAAAACTTGTTCAAAATAGAGCACAGGACCCAGATGACATAAGGAACTAGAAGCAGGTCGGCAGTAGAACTACGGTTCCACAAGAACAAGGTAGGTTTGACTCCTTGGGGAAAAAAGAGCATAAGAGTAGGGCTTCACTCAGGATGACAGGTAACAAAACACCATTCTGACTCTCTTTTTCTCTGCTTTATCTGTTTGGTGAGACAGGGCAAAAGACTGGCCACATATGACACCAGTCTCACTTTCTCTTAGAACTTGCCTGCCCAAACCCACATACATTCTCCTGTCATCTACATGGTAAACTCAACAGGGCAAGTTAAGTCAATCCAGTTGGAATAGGGATAAGATTCCATGCAGATATAAACACACTCTTTTACCCAGTTTCCACCCACATAAAGTTGACATTTTTATTCTAAACTGAGTTACGTCATGTCTACTTCTCAAAGGGTTTGGTTTAGAAGTTGGAAGAAGGAATATACGGTATAAAACTCCAACAAAAGGTATGTAAACCTTTGAATGGAAATCAACCTTAATTATATGGAAAGTGAGTTTAGTGTAGAACCTGTCAGCCAAAGTGAAGTTTGAAATTTTCTAAAAACATTCGACAAAGACCTAATACTGAGACTTAATGAGGTTAAAGAACATTATTAGAGATGCAGATTTCTAATTATGGGGCCAATGCCTTTAAAAGATATAGCACTATTCACAATTTTTACTTTTTCGTGTCATTTTGGTGAGTTGTATTTTTCAAGGAATTTGTCCATTTCATGTAAGTTGTCACATGTATTGACATAATGTTCAGAATATTTTACCCTTTAGATACTTCTTGGATCTCTAATAATGTTTCCTTTTTATATCTATACTGTTAATTTGAGCTTTCTCCTTTTTACTTAGTAGGGGCTTATACATTTTATTAATATTTTCAAAGAAACAACTTTGACTTTATTAATCTTCGTCAGTCTTCTCTATAGAATGCCTTGTTTCTTTGTAATTTCCTTCCTTCCAGTTTATTGAATGAAATTGAACTTCTTTTTCTAGGTTTTTGAAATGAAAAAATGGATGGTTGGCTTTCAACCTTTTAAACATAAACATTTAAAGCTACATATTCTAAGCACCACTTTAACGTTCTCTCACAGCTTAGATACTAATTGTGGTTGTATTTCTTTGACCGGTACTGGATTATTTAAATGTATGCTGTTTATTTTCCAAACAGAGGATTAAAAAAAAATCTTTATTTCTAGTTTAATTCCACTGTAGAACATATATGATTTCAATCTTTTACATTTGTTGAGATTTGCTTTTTAGCTCAGCATATGTTCTATTTTGGTAAAAGTTTCTTGTACACTTGTAGTGTATTGTAGTCTGCAAGAGTTGAGAATAACATTCTATAACAGCAATAGGTCAAGTTGGTTAACAGTATTGTTAAACATCCTATAACATTTATGATTTTTAAAAATCTGCTTATTATATCTAGTGGTTCAAAGAAGGTTATTAAATTCTCCAAATAGGATGGTGAAATCATGATTTCTCCTTGTTGTCCTGTGAATTTTAGCTTTACATATTTTGGAGTTAAATTGTCAGGAACATACAAATTTAGAACTATTCTGTCTTCCTATTGAATTGACCCTTTTATCATCATAAAATTCTCCCTTTATCTTCCATAAAACTTCTTGCTTTAAAGTCTACTTTATCTGATATTAATATATCAGATTTCTTTTAGTGTTTGCACAGTGTACCTCTCTTCCCATATTCTTCTATATAATATATCTTGTGCAAACTAGATATAGTTGGGTCTTTTTTTTAAATGTAGTTCAAAACGTTTTGGCTTTTAGTTGGAGGACTAAACCTATGTATATGTAATCAGATACTGATATTTAAAATACCTTATTGGTTTTATATTCATTCCATCTAATCTTTTTTCTTCTTTTAATTAATAAACTTTTATTACTACATTTTATCTCTTGTTAGCATTTTTTAAAATTCCAATATAGTTAACATACAATGTTATATTAGATTCAGGTGTACAATATAGTTTTGCACAGAATCTGCACCAGTTTGCATTCCCACCAACAGTGCAGGAGGGTTCCTTTTTCTCCACAACTTCGCCAACACATGCCATTTCCTATATTGTTGATTTTAGCCATTCTGACAGGGTTGAGATGATACCTCGCTGTAGTTTTGATTTGCATTTCTCTGATAACGAGTGATATTGAGCATATTTTCATGTGTCTCTTGGCCACCTGGGTGTCTTCTTTGGAGAAGTGTCTGTTCATGTCTTCTGCCCATTTTTTAACTGGATTATTTGTTTTCTGGGTGTTGAGTTGTATCAGTTCTTTACAGACTTTGGATATTAACCCTTTATTGGTTATGTCATTTGCAAGTATCTTTTCCACTCCTGTAGGCTGTCTTTTAATTTTAATGATTCTTCCCTTTGCTGTGCAGAAGCTTTTTATTTTGCTATGGTCCTAATAGTTTATTTTTGCTTTTTTTTCCCTTGTTTTAGGAGGCATATCTAGAAAAATGTTCTACGGCCAAAGGAGATATAACTGCCTATGCCCCCTTCTAGAATTTTTATGGTTTTAATTCTCACATTTAGGTCTTTAACCTATTTCAAATTTATTTTTCTGTATGGTGTAAGAAAATGATCCACTTTAATCCTTTTACATGTAGCTGACCAGTTTTCTGAAAATTTGGTGAAGAGACTGTCTTTTCCCATTGGATATTCTTTCCTGCTTTATCGAAGATTAATTGACCAGATAATGAGTTTATTTCTTGGTTCTCTATTCTGTTCCATTTATCTATGCGTTTATTTTTGTGCCATTACCATACGGTTTTGATAACTACAGCTGTATAACTTGAAGGCTGGAATTGTGATACCTTCAGCTTTGCTTTTTCTATTTCGAGATTACTTTGGCTATTCAGGGTCCTTTGTGATTCCATATAAATTTTAGGATTGTTTCTGTTAGCTTTTTGTTCAAACATCTTTGTAGTTTCTCATGAAATTATCATAGAGATTACAAATACTTCCTTGAATTACAAAACTTGACTTTTACCACTTCCTATACAAGACAATAATTGGTTTAACTCCATTTATACCTATCTGCAATTTGTTCTACTGTTTTCATTTAATTTATTTCTACATATGTTTTAAGCCTGAAAGACATTGTTATTATGGCTTTAAATAGGCAAAAATCTTTTATATTTACTCACATATTTATGCTTTTCATTTTTTTCCCTAAAGTTCTGTGGTTCCAATTGCGATCATTTTTCTTCAGACTGAATACCTTCCTTTAGTATTACTGTACTATGGTTCTACCTGTGATAAAGTCTCCCACCTTTTGTCTAAAACTGTCTTTGTCTTCATTTAAAAAACACTTTGCTGGGCATAAAGTTTCAGGTTAGCAGTATTTTTCCTTTCTGCACTTAAACTTTAAAGATGTTATTCCATTGTTCCCTGATTTTAATAATTTCTGTAGAACAATCTGCCATCAATCTTATCATTGTTCCTTTCAAGTTACTATGGTTTCTTTCCTTGGGTTATTTTAAGATTTTCTCTTTATATCTGCTCTTCCTGAGTTTCATTATGTTATACTTACATATGGTTTTCTTTATATAATATTGCTTGGAGTTCACTAAGTTTTTTTTTTTTTTGTATTTCTTGAATCTGTGGATGGCTATCTTTCATCAGCTTGGAAAATCTTTGGTCACTATCTTTTCAAATATTGGTTTTGCTTCTTCTTTCCTCCCAGTACTCCAATGATATGTAGATTAGGTGAAATGATTCAATCCATATGTCTCTTAACCTGTTTTGTTCTTTCCATTCTTTCCCCCCACCCATGCTTCACCTTGTACATTTTCCCATTGAACTGTCCTTCAGTTTACTAATTCCAGTTGTTTATTTTTTAACTGTGCTTACTTTACTATTAAACTAAAATCTTAATTTCAGATTACATTTTTTAGCTCTAGATCCCACCATTCTGTTGCCATTCTTTGTCTTTTCCTCTATTTAGCTGTTTCTTTTATTTCCTTTATATATTCATATGACGATAAAATCATTGCTTGATAACTCCTATTATCAGTGCCATTGGTGGATCTGCTTCTATTTTCTCTTCTTTCTTGGGCTGTTTGATAGATTTTTACTTTTCACATGTCATATAACTTTTTAGTGTATTCTTAACACCGTGAATGTAAGAAACATAAAACTGTGGTAGGTATTATTTTTTCCCAGTGAGGGCCCATCTTTTCCTGTATTAGACAGGTAGGGTGAGGAGATGATCTCTTCAATTTGATCAGTTTACTCTGGTATAAGATGTCTCAAATATGAAACCAATTGTGTGGTTTATAGCAACTGCATCCCACCACCATCCCATGTAGACTCTCTCCTAAGCACTATGAGATTACAGAAAATTTCTCTGTATATTTCCACCTCAACTTCCTAGCCTCCCTTCCTGCCCCAAGGTTCAGTTAACAACACATGGGGGAAGCTAGCTGTATGTCTGAGGACTCTGGTTTCCAGTTCATCATGCCAGACTATATGACCATCAAAACACCAATGGTTTCTCTTTCCCCTAGTAAAGTCTTACTTCCATAGCAAGCTTGATCTTTAGCCAGTGTCCATTTTGGGCAAATACACTTAGGAAAAATGACTGTCAGTATTCTTAGCTCATACGGGCTCTTCCATTTCTGAAATCTCAGTTCATTTTGTCGTCTTTGCTTTCACAACTCTCTGAGATCTTCAATAAATATGGCTGTGGTTAAGAGTAACACAAATATTTTAAAACTCCCCCCACCAAAAAATAGGCATATATGCCCTTCCCTCACCTTGAATATGGGTCACTTCTGTAACTTCTTTGACCAATAAAATATGGTGACTATGACATGACACCAGTTTCTGGACCTAGACCTTAAGACACTGATGAATTTAACCTCATATATCTAGGAATATTCTAAAATCACTGAACTACCACAAAAGAAAGCCAACTATCCTGATCTGTTAAAAAATAGCAAAAACAGCTTTTGGTTTCATTAATTTTCTCTATTATTTGTCTGTAAACTTCTCTTTTATCAATTTCTACTTATTTTCTACTTTCTACTTACTTTGGATTTTATTTTTCCATTTTCTTAAAGTGAAAGCTCAGAAAATTTTAGGCCTTTCATTTCTAATGTATTTTAAAGCTATAGATTTTCCTCTAAGCACAGCTTTAAGCTACATAAATATGGTATGATGTGCTTTCATCTTCATTCAGTTCAAATATATTTTCTTATTTTCCTTGTGATTTCTCTTCAAACCATGGTTTATTTAAAGGTATGTTGTTTCATTTCCAAATATTTTGGGGAAGAATTCTAGATATTCCACACTTACTCATTTCTAATTCAATACAGTAATAGTGAGAGAGCATACTCTGTATGATTTTAATTCTTTAAAATCTTGTTTTATGACCTGACAAATGATTTACCTAGATAAAAATTCCACACATACTTGAAAAGAATGTGCATTCTATTATTGAGTGCAGTATTCTATAAATGTCAATGAAGTCCAATTCATTAAGTGTTGTTGCAGATTTGTATATTTTAATTGATATTCTGCCTATATCAATTGCTGAGAAGTGTTCAAAACTATCTATAACTGTAGTCACGTCTACTTACCCTTTCTTTTTTGTTAGTTTTTGCTTCAAATATTTTGAAGCTCCATTATTGGGCTCAAAGACATTTAGAATTATGATATCCTTTTGATGAGTTTGTTCTATCAGCAGAAAATATCTCTCAGTATCACTAGTAATATTCCTTGATTTGAAGCCTATTTTGTTGGATATTAATACAGGAAGTCCAGTTTTCTTAATATTAGTGTTGTCATGGTATATCGTTTTCAATTCTTTTAATCTGTGAGTTCATATTTGAAGACGGTTTCTTGTAGAAAGTATGCAGTTAGCAGGTCTTGCTTTTTTATCTAGCCTGATGATCTCTGCCTGTACAGTATTCAGATCATTTACACTTAATGTAATTATGTTATATGGTTGAATTTGAATTAATCATCTTATTTTCTGTTTGTCCCAAACTGTTCTGTTTTTCCTTTTCCCATTTTTTATTGCCTTGTTTGGAATTACTATTTCATTTCATTTATCATTACTATTTCATTTTATCTCCACTCCTGGCTTATTGGATATACCTGTTTCTTTTAGAATTATAATGGTTGCTCTGGTGTTTAAAATATAGACCTTTAACATATCACAATTTTTAAAAAATGTTTATTTATTTTTGAGAGAGAGAGAGAGAGAGAGAGAGAGAGTGAGCACACAAGTGGGGAAGGTGTAGAGAGAGAGGAGGAGACACAGAATCCTAAGCAGGCTCTGAGCTATTAGCACAGAGCTCGATGTAGAGCTCGAACTCATGAACTGTGAAATCATAACCTGAGCTGAAGTTGGACACTCAACCGACTGAGCCACCCAGGTGCCCCTAACATGTCACAATTTAACTTATAATAATGCCGTACCACGTCATGTATAAGAATTTTACAGCAGGATATATCTGTTTCTTCCTTCCCGTCTTTTGTGCTATTGTCATCATAGTCTAACTATGGTAAGACTGTCATACTGGAGAATCCAAGTGCAGGCACTCTGGTTCAAAGATCTAGCTAAAACTAACTTTTGAGTGATCCTTGTCAAAATACCATAAAGCTGTCTTGGACCCTCCAAACCAGCCCACATTACAGCTGAATGCGCACCAACTAACCTCAGCTGATGCTACACAGTGAAGAATAACCACCAGCTGAGCCTTCCCTGTTCATTACCCACAAATATGAGGTACAACAAAATGGTTATTGTTTTAAGATTATAAATTTTTAGATAATTTGGTATGGAAACAGAGAACCATAACAGATTCTGGTACAGGGAAGTGGGGTCCCTTAATAAAAATCTTAAAACATGTGGCAAGAAGACTGTTAATAAAAGCTTGAAGTACATTAGTGAACACGTTAACAGAAGGAAATTACAACCCCTCTTACATAGTGGTATGCAACACTTACTTGCATAACATAGAAAAGAGAAAATATACCCAATAAAGTGGTAGATTTGGGTAAGGAGATTTCTAGGCAGAAGATTCAAAGTATTAGTCTCTTTTAGCTGTGTGTACTAACGTATACATAGACAAAGATGAGCTAACAAAAGAATTGTTTCATTTTCAAGCAGAATTTAGAGGAAAGGTAAAGGAGCCAGGTCTTGCCCTTTCAAAAGAATAATCATCCCCATTCCCTCCAGACTGAAAAGAAATAGCTTCAGAGTAAATATGAAGTCTAGGGTTTGCTACCAGTAAAGCATGGTTTCAGGATAACAATTACAGTATGACTCTAAAAATACTGTAGAAGTAGAAAATAATTTAAAGTTGTATCTAATTCAGTTCTAAAACTCTTAAGAATGTGCTTCTTAGACTATCTTTTCTAGATAAAAGGCCTCTAGGAATCTTGGAAGTATGCCTTTTGGGCTCTTTCAAATAGAAAAGCTTCTAAGAATTTTATGGGTATTGTTTTGTAACACATGGACTCTCAGTCTCAAGTAGAAAAAAAGCCTATCTTAAAAACAAATGTGGGTGTGGCTTCCAAAGGTGTGGATTATAATTTGACACATCAATGCCTTATAATGATTTTAAAAGAATTATGTGAAATTGGATTGAAAGCAGGAGAGAGAGTACAAAATGAAAATACACTTTTAGACTCTCACGCTTCTACAAACAGGAAGCAAGGCTGGAAAGACCACCAATTATAAACATGAACCATTTCTTACAGAAAAATAAAAATGACAGAATTTATAGGTAAGGCCGGAAGTCATGGATAATCATTTTCAAGGATTAAGAATGGCTCTACTAAAGAAACTGTCAACATCAGAATTTCAAAATTACTATGGACCAGTGAAGGTTACATGCCTCCTGTTTCCCCATTTTTGAATGGAATGCTTACCACAGTTACTCTATGTCTGCCTCTCCGTTATTTGTTGAGTAAATAACTTGTCTCTTGCAAAGAACTACATCTAAGGAGCTACATCTGGGACCTGATTTAAATGACAATATCCTGGACCTTAAGCTTGAGGCTACAGCCACAGTAGGGTAACAATTTTGCATTTTTGGAAAGGATTGAATATATTTTCAAAGTAGAAGGAATGTAAATAATTTGTGGGTAGAGGGTAGATGGTGATAAATTTAAAATGGTCACAAATTCTCTGATACTTCTTCCATTGAGAGGTGATGACTATAAACCCTCTCACTGAAACTGAGAGGACACTGGGATTGCTTTGATCAACAGAATATAGAAGAGATGTGGTGCCAGTGTCCAGTTTTAGGCCTTAAGATACTGGTCTTCCTACTTCCTGTCTCTTGGAAAATTCTCTGTACAAGCCCCCAGCCAAAATATTAGAAGTCTGGCTGCTTTAAGACTACCATGCTAGAAAGGTCAAGCAAGTCCAGAATTCCACCTCCGCCCAGGCACCATATATATCTGTAAAAATATCATGGATCCTGCAAAGCAATTCATCCACCAGCTAAATACTATCCAGTGATGTCATTCAATGCAACAAAGAACAGAAAAATCACCCAGCTGAGATCTGCCTTAATTGCCAATCCACAGAATCATAGCTATATAAAACAATTGTTGTTTTAAACCACTAAGTGTTGGGGCAATTTATTATGTAATAACAGATCATTGCAACAATGATTTTTGCAATTTATTTAAGTTGTTACAGAGGTCACAATGTCCTGCCACCACCTTCTACAACCCAACTGGAAGCAAAAGCCTAAATCAAGATATTATTCAGAAGTAATTTGCAAAGTTAATTATAAGGTAAAATTATTTCTTAAAGATAAAAAGGCTAACATTCTCAGGATATTATAAAACAAACACTTTTCAGGGCACCTGGGTGGCCAAGTTGGTTAAGCTTGATTTCCACTCAGGTCATGATCCCACAGGTTTGTGAGATCAAGCCCTGTATCTCTGCACTGACAGTACAGAACCTGCTTAGGACTCTCTGTCTCTGCCCTACCCCCACTCACATGCCTACACACACACACACACACACTCTCTCTCTCTCTCTCTCTAAATAAACACTAAAATAAAAAATAATGAAAAAAAGTGTTTTCCAAACATAAGAAACTTCAACTAAGCTACTGCAATTAACATTTTCTTCTTACTAAATAAACTATTGTACTTACATAATAAAGCCAAAAGACTCAGGCTCAAGTTGTCTTTTAGTTAATTTAACAAATGATTGTTCAGATACTTTCACATGACTGGAACAAGACCAGAATTACAAATATAAAATTGAACATTTGTAGTAGTATAAAGAAATTATTTTAAAATATAAAGTAAAAAATACTGGTGTATTAAAATAAAATATGAGGTATAGAACAGGTGATAGCTGTTACTAAAGTGATAATATATACATATATATGAACATATACACATATACATAAATATGTGTACACGCAATTGTGTGTATGTATGTGTGTGTGTGTGTGTGTGTGTGTGCATTCAAATATTTATTTAAATGTTGGAGTGCCCTGTGCCAGCATGTTTACCACAGCACTGTAAAAGCTAAAACTGGAAATAATTTAAATATACATTAATAAGAATATTATTTAAGAAGGGTATAGAGAAGGGGCACCTGGGTGGTTCAGTCGGTTAAGCGTCCAACTTCGGCTCAGGTCATGATCTCATGGTTCGTGGGTTCGAGCCCCACATCAGGTTCTGTGCTGACAGCTCAGAGCC